AAACTTAGGACTCTACTGCCTCTTCCTCTTGAATGCTGGGATTGCAGGCTTGTGTCATTATGCCCAACTAATTGCATACTCCAATGGCATGGGGAAAATTTATACACCCATGTAGCTACTGTAATTGAAGATAGCCCGATTATGCTCATCCTGGGGCCAACCTGCCATCCCCAGATACCTTCTGACTTGCTTTCTGTCACTGTGAACTATATTTAACTTTTCCACATTTCATACTTGTGGAGTAATTAACAATATACGTTTCTGCTACTCTCCTCTTTTGCCCAGCATACTGTTTTTATCCATGTAATTACGTTTATTATTAATTTATTGTATATAAAAATGCAAACAGCTTTATTAGAGTATAAATGACCATATTCAGTAAACTGCACACATTTATAGTGTATCGTTTGGAAATATTCAGACTTAGCAGAGAAGGCTTAAGACTGCTATTCTTAGAAAGGTCAGGTTTCAAGGTTGGATTTCTAAGTCTCCCTCACCCCCTGCTAAGAATAGCTCATTGTGCCTAAACCGTGTAAACAGCATGGTTCAGGTTGAATACCTGCTTTTCTACGGAGTCAGACATCTTTGTGGACTTCCTGGGTACTCTTCCCTAACGAGCTTCCCTGGTAGGTAGCATTTCATATACATTGCCACAACTTACTGCCAGGGAGACTGTGTCCTGAGTGACTCTACTGGGAAAAATTCCTAGTCAGAATCTTGTGCTAGGACTTGTGCTAGACTAGAATCTTTCCTTTGAACTGTGCTCCAAAAATCACAAGTATAAATATGACCAGGTGTTAGGCCCTGTGAGTCACTGGATTTAGAGATGATCTTGAGATAAAATTTGATATTAGAAAAGTATGTATATAATTTGCTTCTATTGATTGATATGCTCTTCTGTGGTGTCTTATTTGTTGTTAATTTCATCTAACTAAAGTTAAATTTTAGACACTGTTTTCCACATCATTCCATTTGGTTCTATTATGTTTTGTTTTTCTCTACAATATGATTATATATTCTTTTGCATCCTTAAGTACTTGTGCATATTTCCAACAACTAATAACTGTATTAAAGTCTCTGCTACATCATCTCAGACTGTATTTTTAACTATTCTCCTTAGAAGTCATGTTTTTTTTTCCTTAATTGTTTGGTAAATTTTGGTAGGGTGTCATTCATGTGTTTTATTGTGCTAAATACTTTATTATAGTTTTTCAAAAGTCATTAGATTTTTCTGGAAAGTAATTCGTTGCTTATGGATGAATGTTCTGATTTTTAAGCTAATCTAGGCCAGGTTTAAAAGGCCCTTTAGAAATAATCTGGACTCACTTTAGAATTGTGATCTTTTGGGGGTCTCTTTCAAATGTTCCATGTATTCAGTGAGGTCTCCACTGTGGCTAAGGGGGGAAAGGACAGGGTGTTAGCTATCCCTGGCTCTGTGTTAGCTCTGGGAATTGTTCATTTTAGACTTCCCTCATACTCTGTGTCGAGAAATTGTTCTTGCTGAATTGAAGAGGTTTTATCCTATACATGTACAGAGCACTGTTTCACAAAAGGGTCTTGTGTACAGATTTCTGAAATTTTTCCTGTTTCCTTCTCTTGAACAATCTAACTGCCTCGGCCTCCAGGAATTCCAGTCATTCCATCCTCACCTAAGGACTTCCCTACAAAAGGTTCACATTGTTCATTCTCCCTTTTGTGGGGGTCCTTGTCCTGTCCTACCTATAGTGTAATACTTTAAAAGTACATTTGCAGACAATATGCTGCCATTTTCTTAATGAAGTAAGACACAGCTTGGCTTCTCACCTCCACTGGCAAAAAAGAATTTTTCTAAGTGTAAATAAGTAGAAAACTGGGGGGTAGGTGACTCTAGGATGTAATTTCTCTCTCTCTCTCTCTCTCTCTCTCTCTCTCTCTCTCTCTCTCTCTCGTGTGCGTGTATGTGTGGTGTGTTTGTGCATGCAGGTGTGTGTCTTCATGTAGACCACAGGTTGACACTGAGTGCCTTCCTTGATTGCTTTCCACCTTGTTTTTTGAGGCTGGGACTCTCATTGGACCAGATGCTCATTGATTTGGCTATGCTGGTGAGCCAATAGGCTTCAGGAATCCACCCTCCCTCACTTCCTTGTGCTGATTATAGATGTATACTGTGTGCCTGGTGTTTTATGTGTTGGGGGTCCCAATTCAGACCTTCATGTTTATATCTCCCCAGCCCTTGAGATAAATTTTTAGAAGTGGGATTTCTATGTCAATATAAATGTATACATAATTTTTGCTAGCTATTAACAAATTTTCCTCTATATTAAAAAAATTTTGTTTGTTTGTTAAAACATGTTCTTGCTCAGTAGCCTAGGCTGGCCTCAAACTTGTGAGCTTTCTGTCTCAGCCTCCCAAATGCTCTGATTACTGGCATATGCCACCACACCCTGTTTTCAGCATTTTCTATTCCATCAGAAAAGGAGTGTTTATTTTCTTACATCCAGTCTCACAAAATATGTTTTTAGACTTCAGGATTTTTGCCAATACAGTTAGTGAAAGTGGTATGCTAATAGTATTTTAATTTGTACTTATCTCATTAGAAATAAAATTGAGTTCCTTTTTATAGATGTAAGAGCCATTTATATTTTCATATATGAAAATATAAATGTGGCTTTTAAATTTTTTTATGTGCATGAATATATCGCCTGCATGTATGTGAGTGCACCCATGTCGTGCAATGCTTGGGGAGGTCAGAAGATGGCATTAGATCCCCTGGAACTGGAGTTACTGACAGTTGTTAGACGCCACATCAGTGCTGGGAATCAAAACTGGGTCCCCTGCAAGAGCAGTCAGTGCTCTTAACTGCTGAGCCATCTCTCCAGCCCCATCTATGGCTTTTTATATAGTTATTTTTTTTAAAAAAATTTCTTAGGGATTGGAGAGATGGTTCAATATTTAGGGGCATGTACTGCTTCTGCAGAGAACTAGAGTTCAGTTTCTGGCATCCATAACAGAGGCTCACAACCACCTGTAACTCCAACTCCTAGGATTAAATTGTTTCTTTTGCCCTGTTCAGGCACCTGCACTCACATGCACATACCAACATGCAGACAGACAGACAGACAGACGTAATGGGAAAATGAAAATAAGTCTTAAAAATCATTTTTATCTTTTCCCATTTTTAGAAACTCATGATTGTGGTATCAGTTGCAGATAACATTTTATTTGTCTAGTTTATTTATGCTACATTTGCCATGGAAAGATTTTATTTTTACATTATCAAGTTTATAATTTTTTCCTTTTAGATTTTTCAGACCCAGTCCTGATGTTATTTTCATTTCTTTTTTCGAAAAAAACCAAACTTGCCCTTATACTTATTAAGTACTCACATCATTCCATTTTTTATAGGTAAGTCTCTTACCTATTTGGAAGAGTTCCTGGTATATGTTGTTGGGAATGAATCCAATTCTGTCCTGTGTTGACAGTGGGTAGCTTGTTTCCTCCGGACTCATCTATAAAGATGGGAGACTTCAGACAAACATATGAAACAGCCTACCAATGTGTGTGCTTACTACTTATCAACTGGAAATGACCATGTCATTTAGTAGAAAATGAACTTAGCTTCAGTGACTGTACTTGAGAGAAACTTGAGTGGCAGATGAGTCTCCCAGGCTTCCATTGTTTGTTTAGGGAGTACAATAAAGTTACAAGAAAGAAAACAGTATTATCTAGAAACCATCAATAAAGTGCTGTAACAATTTAAGAATTAGGCATTGCTGTGGTTTGAACGTGAGTCCTGAGTGGTCTGTTCCTTCCCCCAGGTACTTGTGTTGCAGTGCAGTCCTACAATGCAACAGCATTAAGTAAGGCTTTTGGGATCTTGTCATCCAATTGCATTTTCTTCTGCTTTTAAAATTTTGATTTACTAATCTCAGTTTAAGAAATCCAAGCCCTGTTACTGTATTTTATTTCTCTCAGCTTGTACTGGCTTTCTTAACATGACCTAAGGCATTCTGGAATAGTTCTCTGGGAATTTACACACCTGGTTTTGCTTCCCAAATAAGTGGGAACTTTTGATTGCTCTCACTCAATCGACCCACTTTTCAGAGTTTCAATTTAAAAAATAAAATAAATTTTCTCTTTCATCTGTAGATGATAATTTTCACACTCATTTTTCATCTTAAGTATTTGACTGGGGGGGGAGACTTTAAGACGATAAATGAGGATATTAAACTATTCAGTACTTGGAACTAATCAATTAATCATTAATGATAGCAGCATAAGCTATTGGAAAAAAATTCATTTACAGTGAAAACGACCAGAGGTTCACACGATAAATTTAGCTGACCACTTCTAAATTTAGCACCTAGGACACTTATAAACCACCTTCCAGTGGGGCCTGGGCTGTAGGGTGCTAGCTGGGATCCTCTCTGGGATCCTCTCTGGCTCGTGACACCGGGGTCACTGAGGCTCTGTCAACTCTGCACGCGGTCCCAGTGCACACCGCCGAGCGAGGGTACCGGTGCGAGGCGCCGTGGCTGCGGGGATCGCTGCAAACGCCTCGCTGGCTGACCCCGCCACCCTCGAGGAGAGGCTGGAGACACCGTCCCGCAGTCGTGCGCACTAGAGCTTTCAGCCTCCTTCCAGATCTGAGGTCCGGGAGCGCGGCGCGGTGGGTTCCGGCCGGGCTGGAGCTTCCCAGCAGCGCCCTTCCCAGGGGCGGGCCCTGGCTCTAGGTGCCGCGACAAGTGGGCGGCCGGAGGCGGATGGCTGGGAAGGCGCGCGGCTGCGAGGAGCTGCGAGACCCGCGCAGGGACGCAGAGATCGGAAGAGCTAAGCTACCAGGCGAGGAGAGGAAGAGCAGGAGGAGGACCAGAAGGAGGAGGAGGGCCCGGAGCTAATGCACGCGAGCGGCCTCGGAGCAGGGAGGCGGGTCCTTTCGGTGGCAGCCTCCACGGTTCCGGGACGCAGCCGGGGCCGCCTGCCCGCCGCCCGTGAGGTGTTCTGCAGGTAGTTCTGCACCCAGAGGGCGCCCTCGCCCGGCCCTCGCGGCGCCCGGGACGGAAGGGGCCCGAGCGCTCTGGCTGCGGCAGCGCGCGGCACCCCGAGCGCGGCGCCCTCGAGCCGCCGCGGCCGCGCAGGTTGGCGGGCCGACTTGTCCGCCCGCCAGCAGAAGGAAGCGCTGTCCTTCCCGCTCAGCCCGGTGGCTTCCCCGCCCCGCGAACTCTCCACCCTGCAGCGGCCGAGCGGCGTGGCCACGGAGGCGCCAAGGAGGGGCGAGCCACCGCCGGGCAGCGGCGTGGCCCCGGGGGACAGGCTACCCGACAGGAGGCGGCGGCGCGGCGGCGAAGGCTCGGCGCGCGATGGCAGCTGCCTAGCCCGGCGGGCGCGGAGCAGCCCCGAGCTGTGGCTGGCCAGACGGTGCGTCTGGGCTGGGGACCCCGCCGCCGCCGCCCGGCCGGCAGAGATGAGCACCGAGGCGGGCGAGGGCATCACTTTTTCCGTGCCGCCCTTCGCCTCCTCCGGCTTCTGCACCTTCCCCGAGGGCGGCAGCTGCCGGCGGGGAGGAGGAGCGGCGGTGGCCGAGGGCGAGCCGAGCCAGCAGCCTCTGCAGCCGCCGCCGCCACCTCCGGGCAGCTTCTGGAACGTAGAGAGCGCTGCCGCGCCCGGCACCGGGTGCCCGGCTGCCACCCCCGGGAGCAGCGCCACCCGAGGCCGGGGCAACTCTGGTAGCGGCGGCGGCCGGCGCACCACGGTGGCTTATGTGATCAATGAGGCGAGCCAGGGGCAACTGGTGGTGGCGGAGAGCGAGGCCCTGCAGAGCCTACGGGAGGCGTGCGAGGCGGTGGGCGCCACGCTGGAGACTCTGCATTTCGGGAAGCTGGACTTCGGGGAGACCACGGTGCTGGACCGTTTTTACAACGCAGGTGAGTGTGCAATCCTTTCGCCGCCCTCCGCGGTGGCGGCCGCGCTTCTCCAGGCAGTCTTGGGGGGAATTTATTTTGTTTTGTTTTGTTTTGTGGGCGGGAAACAAGCTTCCTTCTATTTACATCTCGCCCCACCTTGGGAGCCGCGAGCGGGGTTGCGTGACTGTTCTGGCGCTCGCCTCTCCTGGCAGAGAGAGTGTGCTTGTGCGAGAGCCAGCGTGTGCGTGTTTGTGCGGGAGACCCGCTGACCTACTGCCAGGAGACCAGGAATCCCAGTCATGGGTCTGAAGAACTGTTTTTCACGAGTGGGAGATATTTGCTCTCCAATCAATTCTCTCCGTTCAGTGCATCTATTAGGTGTTTTTCCCTTTACAGACACCTGTGACCCTCTTACGTGCTGTTCTGTTCTCAGTGTAGTTTGGCCAGTACAGAAGCGATATCTTATGCTATACAGCCAGCTGCGCATAGACTGTGTATCTGTGGCCTGACGTTGCCCAACTCATTTTACCTTCAAGTTTTAGTGGCTTGAAATTCCCATATCTTAACCAATTTGAATGGTCAAGTAACTACGTCCCAAAGTAATACAGTGACATACACTCCATGGATGTGATCTTGGTTAGAATATTGGCAGAAGAACCAATCTTCTTAAATCACCCTATATACTGTGGTGGGCTGAAAAGTTTATAATTTGACATTGTTTATAGTGTTGATGTGCTCTCTCAATGATAGATTAGCTTTTTCATTAAAGTGATTGCTAGCAGAATCCACGGGTGTCTCATTTTAACCTATTTCAGAAAGTGTTAGACAGTTCTAGACTGAAGCCATTAGCTCTCTGGGTAGCAAATGTTAGGAATGGCAGCATGTTGCTGAAATCCAATGAAATTGAGAATATAGACATACTCATTTTTATAATTTTGGTGAGGAAACCTGGCTTAAAGGCTTCAAAACAGTAAGCTCTTATATTCATGAGCACATGCAAGGTTTTACATTTCAATCTAATTCTCTTACGTCCTCTTGAAAACACCTGAAGTAGCCTTATGTCAGTTTTGGAATTCAGCCCAAGCTGAATATTTTAAGAACAAGAAGAACTTCATATTAAGGAAGTTAGACTAAATAAACTAAGGCTTTCTGGTTTTGGGTTTGGGTTTTTTCTTTTTTCAGTCTCAGTCTTCATAACTGAACTTGAGCATAATATATTATGGCTTGGTTCTTTGGGTGGCTTGCTATAAAAATTACACAAACATAACTTTCTAAAAATTATAGCACTCCTATTTTTGGATTGTCATTTGGAAGAAACTTCAAAGAACTAAATGATATGAGAGGAAAATATCCAAATAAATACTTGAGCTTATTTTTATTGCAATGATAGATTGGACATTTTTTTTCCCTAAGGGTCTAGACAAAAAAAATTCTTAAACTCTTAAGTTAATATGAAAGAAAGTTTCCTAACAAGGCTCCTTTCTGTTACTCTCCAAATACTGTCTGGAAAAGGGAGAGAGACGAGTTGTAAGAGAACAGACATTTGAACCATGTCTCCTTTAATTCTGTGACAAGGACTAGGAAGAAAGTACTGCTTACCTTGTTAGGTGAATAGTTCCAAGATCCATCACTGGCCTTAGAATTCGTAGGCAATGCCTGGCTAGTGCAGGAGGCTGGCCCTAAAATGTCATGGGTGGCCCTAGCTGCCTTCAGTTAGGCCACATTTACTTTTAGAATTAAGGGAAGTACTCTGTTTTGGCATCATGGGATCAAGTGTGGGAATTGGTGAGGAGGGTGTGTTCTGGGGAGTCCCTCGCTAGTGGGCCAGCATTTTCCCACTTCATTGCTTCTTTCAACCTAGGCAAGCCTGAGTTTAATCTCTGCCCAACTAGAAGACATCTTATTCAGCATGAAACTGTGACAGAATGAAGATGGGACCAGTTTTGTGCCAGTTCCTTATTTCTCTATAAACTGAGGGCTTTGTTTTTTTCTGATGTCTAAGAGAGTGATTACTCTTCTTCCATCAGAAGCTGGCCAGTTCTTTTTCTGTCAAAGGCCAGATAGTACCTATTTTGAGATTTTTTTCAGTTCTTCAAGTTTCTTTCACTGGTATTCAACTTCGCTATGAGAACTCCCAGAAACAGTACCTAGAGAAATAATTATGGCATTGAGACTTTGAGGTCAGCCTGGGCTATACAGTGAGACTGTTTCAAATAACAACAGCAAACCAACACAAGCAAAAAGATTATGGCTATGGATCAATGAAACATTGCTAGTGGACAGTTTTAGCTTGCACGCTATCCAAGCCCAGGAGCTGCAGGTCCCTGGCCTGTGCTGACTTTTTCTCAACACTATTATCTGCACCTAGAGGTTGAATCCTTGTGACACAGTTGGAACAGCACCACCCCTCCAGTAGAGCTAAGTGTTTATCCCAGCTCTGCTCTGGGTCATGTAATTGTAAGACAAGCTTTTTGTGCCTTCCAATGGAGACTCTTTGCCTGTAAAGTTCTCCAGGGCAGAAATGGAGGGAGAATTGACTCAAATTTCTAACATTCTTCTGAATCCTGTGAATTTTCAGAGGCAAAACAACATAGTGTACACAGCCGAGCTTCAGGGTTTGGATTCTGGTCCTGGTTCTTCTTCTGTAATTTGGAGTGAGTCATTTAAACTCTTAGAAGAGTGGATGGTTGGAGTGATCTGTACTTTAAAATTGCAAATGATTCATTTTACTTCATAGAGATTCGTAACAGCTTGTTTATGGCCTGTCCCTGGTCCTGAGGAGCTCAGAGTTGGTGTGGGAAGGTGCAGCCTGTGACTTGGATATCTCAGTGCCTGTGTGAGGGTCACCCAGAAACCAATGGGTTTCCACACAGAGCACTGGTGGTCAGGCCCAAGGGTAGCTTTTCAAGGGAGGTCATACCTGAAGCCAGATGGGAGGATAAGTAAAGGCTAACCCAGCCAGGGCCTTGTGCGTGATAGACAAAACTCTATTACTGAGCTGCCATGTCAGACCCCGGATATCAGCATCTGAAAAAGAAAGACTGGGACCCAAGTAACTCAACTTAATGGAATGAATAATGGAATAAAGAATGCTGACAGTGGTACAGACTTCTCCTGTTTCTGTGGACTGGTATCTTTAAAGAATGCATTAGAGTTAAAGGTTTCGCTGAGTTTTGATTATTATTTAACTTTATTCCAGTTTGTTCATTGACTGCATTTATCATTTTCTTATTCTGGAAGGTGAAGCTGATTAATGTTTAATTGATGCTGTTATGAAAAACATTTGCACATCTTAAAGAGAGTTATAGCTTCACTTATAAGAGAGCATTGCTTAGAACTGGGAGATACCAAGCTAACCACACCCCTTCCCAGCCCCTTGTAGGGTAGGCAGTAAACCTCTGTAAGTGCTGCAGGTGTCAGTGATACAAGTGGCGGACAGACCTCAAGTGCCTGGATTTTGAAATTGTTATTTAACTGAGGATGAACTTAAATTTCTGGTTCTCCTGCTTCTATCTCCTGAATGCTGGGGGCACGGTCACTTGTTTATAGAGCACTGTGGCTTGAACCCAGGGCTTTCATGCATGCTAGGCAAACGTTTTACCAACTAAGCTACATTCCCAGTCCTTAAACAAAGAACACCAGTTCTGTCAATATTTCTAGAATATTCATTGTTTCCTCACTTTGCTTATGAAAACACTGAACCATAAAGGAGTTGTAATGTATTCATTCAGGTTAAATGACTTCTTAAGACTGCTGCACACCTTTCCTTAGAAACGGTGTTACAGGTAGCAGATTCTGGAGGTAGCTTATAGGAAGCCTTGTTAACTCAAGTGTATGGGGCTCATTCACCACTCTAAACATTCAGGAAAATACATTTCTGAAACCTTAAACTGCTACTTTGAATATACCTTCCTGGGAATTTATACCTTCTTGGGACTTTAAATATACCTTCCTTTTGAATATACCTTCCATCAGTTACTTTTGCTCTGATGTAGCTTTTGGTTGCATCTTGGGCATAGGTAGGAGGGGAAGCAGCAGCAACTTGGATTGGGGGTTGGGGCTGGAGGTGGGGGTTGAGGGAGAGGCTGCAGGGAAAAGAAGGGTGCTGAGAGAAAGAGGAGACATGCCAGCAGGAACCAGGAACACTTTCACCTCTTTTGGCGCTCTTCCTCCCCTAACGTGTCTATGGCCATCAGCTCTCTGCTGATGTGAAGACCTTGCTTGGCTCAAGGCCATCTACCTTCTTGGTGGGCACTGGATTAGAGGTACTGCCCACTTACTCTTTCCTTGTCAGCAGCCATCACATCTGCCTGGCCCTTCCTCTTAGCTGGGCTCACTGCAGATTACAACTTCTTGTTCAGTCTTTGATGCTGTAGCAATAGTGGGGAACCGGAAGGAAACATTTAAAATTGCACGTTAAAATCGTCAGCATTTAGCTTTTCTACTTTCATGCACGTTGTGTTTTCAGGGTACTAGACTGTGCTGAAGGTGTCCCTTAAGCCTCTTGCCAGGTAGCATCTGACCTTCCTGGGCTTTCTCTCCTCTTAGTTCCAGATCACCTCCTTTGGACTTCCAGTTTTGTTTGGTAAAATGAAAGAAAACATAACCTTTGTACCGCATCTATCTCAGACTGAGTTCTTGAAAGTCTCCCAGCTGACTTCTGCATTTCTGTTTTCAAGTTCAGCACAGACTTCATATATATCGACATGTAGTTTGAGGGAGAGGGCAAAGACTAGACTATTTCCTAAATAGTGTTTCCTGTGAATCAGTTTTTTTTTTTTAAATCAAGAGAATGGATATGTATTTGTCAACATTTTACTTTTTCCAAGTAAGGATATTAGAAGAGAAAAACTTGATATTCTTAAAAAGGAAAGGTATTTTTATATAAAAAAAAAACTATGTACTGGGGGACTTGAACGTAAAGTCCTTGCTGTCTAAGCATGAGGAACTTAGATCAGATCCCTAGCACCCATGTAAAAGTTGGACAAGGCAGAGTGAGTCCATAGTGCTGGAGGTAGAGA